TTGACAGTTTTACCATTTGATTGTCCTTAAGTCTAACATAAATGCTCAGAACTTTTTTCTGATTCAATTGAGAATAGAATTTTTTTTAAAACTCCAATACAAGAATAGTTTTTGATTCTCTCTCTATGAATATTCAATTTCATGGCAAGAGAATGATAAAGATGACTACAAGCTTATCGAACTTTTTTTAGAACCGTTTAAAAAGTTTAGAACTTTTTTTCTCTCTTTCGATTTAAATTATGTTACCAATTTATTGAAATCTCATTTTCTTCATGATAAGATCTTCATGATGAACAATTTTCATTTTTATTCTTACCAATATAAATATTCTATTCTCTCCATTCTCAGAATCTCTCTCTCTCTCTCATTCGTTTTCTTCATCTCTCTTCATCTTCCATCTTCATCACTTATCATGAAAGACGATCAATCATTAAGCATAATATATGCAAATGTGATAATGTAATAGATTAGATTACATTCTGAGTTTGTGTCCAATTTATATTTCTCCATGAAAAAAGTTCAGTTTACTATGAACTTTCCCGATGATTATTTGAGCAAGAGAAAAGTTTAATTTAAAATAAAAGTTTCCCAAATTGTAATCAAATGAACTAAAGTATAACATTTTATATTACTTTTTCCATGACTCTGTTTATCGGAAGTCAGAATCACCATGAATTTCAATGTAATCAAAGGCTTCTCTTTTTATTGATAAAAACTGAATTCTAAGTTGCAATTTCATTATTATTGTTTCTCATGGTTATTTTTGTGGTACAATAGTTTTCCAAATTAACTCAATAATAATGTGGATAATATCACCCGATGAGATTCAATTAGCTAATGAATAGTGAATTTGATGATAATGAGAAAGGGAATGAAATTTAAAATCTTTTCAAATTGAATCAAAGTTAAAACAAGTTCGTAGTTTCCATTGACAAGGACTGAGAAAATGTTTCGGTAATAATTTCAAAATTTCGAGTCCAAATTGAAAGATTATCAACAGAATAGAATCATTTAAAACTATTGAACATATTGATTCTTTATTGATTGTTCAATTTCATCCTCATCATGTTATACTATTTGCTCTGATTGTGGTTAACCTGAAGATTCAGTCTGACTCTCAATCTCTCTGAATTATCATGTTTATCATGTTGGGTGTATCAATATTTACTTGGGTGTGCTATCTGTGTGTATCCAAGTTGATGATATGTCAAAAATAAATAACATGAATTAACTCAATGATTGTTGATACATATTGATTGTTTGATTATTTTTAATGAAAAACCTCATCACCTTATTATCCTTGACCATTTCATTTAATCTTGAAACATGATGATGATTACATTTATTTGAAGCGAAAAAGTTTTCTCATTTTCAAGCTCATCAACTGTTGAAAAGATGATGATTACAATTAGCTGATTACAGTTTCTCAGGTGCTATGAAATTATTGTAATGATCGAGGCTTGAATCTTATATAAATATGATGAGATATGAAACTGAAAATGATGATGATGATGATGATGATGGATACCTGAACTAAAGGCTAATTCAAGAGCAATTCTGAAGATGAATAGGTTGCCCTGAACATACAAGCCAATACTCGAGTTGATTGATCTGAAGAAACTCATTGTCAACGATAATTATCATGTTAATACCTTGAAATCGTGGGAGAAAAGTTTCCAACTGATTTACTCTGTCAACTTCTTACTCCCACCCAAGAGTTAAACACCTTCATGAATAATGTTACATGAAGAAATTATTTATATTATTATTACCATTTTCCTTTTTCTTTTCATTTTCACTTTTCATTATTAACATTTTTTACTCTGAAAATTCATTGTAATGCAAATCATCATGAAGATGATCATCTTCCTATTATATGGATGATGAAGTACATTAGTATATAAACACAGTGTATATAAATATTATCTTGATCCATATAACTATTTATTTTATTATCATTTATGTTGATCATGTAAATGTGAGAGTTTATATGAAAATAATTTATTCAGAAAACTTTTCACAAGATTATATTGTTTTCTTTTCTTGGAGTGAAAAATTTACTTAGAAAAAAAACTCCAATCAGAGTTATCATATTGATGCCAGAATTTAAAGAGTCTCCATGTTATAATTTAATCTCATAACGAGAGTATTAAGGAAAAGTTTGCTTCTGGCTCAGTTGACATCTCGAGCTCAAAACTGACATCTTTAGCTCAATCTTTAGCACTTCTTGCTACCTGAGATAAAGATTTACCTGAGCTAGAGGTGTCAGTTTTGAGCTCGAGAAGTCAACTGAGCCAGAAGCAAACTTTTCCTTAATACTAAAGAGGTGACTTGATCATGTTGAGGAACCATGTTGTTGTAACCAAAGGAATTCCTCAAAGAGAATTAGTTTATCATCAATATAAGAATGGTTTCGAAACTTTCATTAAAGTTTGAAGTATTAGCAGTTGCATATTAAAATCTAATTGATAAATAGTCGAATAATTTGAAAATTCCGTCGAAATCCATTCAATTGAAGATAGAAGTATCTCTTCTTGAGTGTAAATATTATCGTAAACTGTCACATTTTACACCTTAATAGACATAGAATTGTAAAAGAATGAGTAATGAATAAATATGATAAAGAAACAGAATTTACTTTTTGTATTCAACTTGAATAATAATCATGAAAACCTTAGATAAATGTTTATGAAAGGAAAGGTGAGAAATTATTCCGTTAAGATGAATTATTAATAATACATTTAGAAGTGTTAATATTTATCTTTATTGAAAGATCATATCTCCAGCAGACTATTCAATTAAAGTGAATAGAATCAATTGTTAATCCAATATGATGGATAATCTTGATTAGTTTATCACCTTTAATTTGGTTGCTTGATTATGATGATAGAGCAATCAAACTAAATTAGGTTGGATTGGTTTATTATTATAAAAGTGAATCAAGTTTATCATGAAGGTAAAGTAATTCACTTAATTAACATAGCTCACAGTTACTTTATAGTTAACTTAATCATCAACAATTCAAGGTTACCTGAGACTTTCAATTGATTAGCTTGAAGCTGAATCATCACTATTTCAAGATTAATTATATCTCTAGTATACTATTTGTGATAATAGTTTTAATAGTAACAATCAGTTTGATTCTTACTGTTAATTTTTAATCATTTAACCACTTGATAATCTTCACACATACACAATTAACGTTTAATCATCAAATTTGATTACTTACTTATATGATTGATTAGTATTGAAACAATAAATTATCTCGTAATTACCCAGGAAATTTATCATTAAACTTTTTTTTCATTCCAAAGAAGAAAAAAAGTTTTTCCATTAACAAGAAAATGTTAGAACTTTTTTTTTCTTGTTCGAACTTTCTGACTTCAATGTTATTATATTGTGTCAAGTCAATAGTATTAAACTGTAATTAAGGTTCGCAATCAAGGTGTAAGAAGTTATTATTATATAAATTAAGTTAATTTAGTTCAATGAACCGAATTCATCAAGGTTACAATCGTTTTCGTAGGAAAATTATTATTAATTTTTTTCTGTCTCGGTGTGAATTCAATTGTGTTTCTTAAGGTGACAATCAATGAACTTGTTGCATTTTATGATTAATTGTCTTCGGGACTAATTAATTTGTAGCAAATTGAATCAGTATTATAATTAAAACATTAGTATTTCAACTCGTTGATGGGAATAGGATTATAATAAGAAATATGATGGAATCGGTTCAACTGAATTCGTTGTCATTAATAATATCGAACTTTGTATATTTACTGATTTCGAAAAGGAAAATTCTGATAATCTTTTCACCTGATTCCATGACATAGGTTTATACGGAATTTCATGAATTAAGATTGCATGATTGGTATTAGAACTTTTCTCTTACAGTTATATACTCTTTAGACACTTTTTTTTGTTCGTCACACATCATAATATATTAATACCGTTATGTGAATACATGAAGATTGATTCATAAAGCTCATGAAGATGATGATCTATGATAAGTATCATCATCATCATTATGTGTTGTTTCATGAATACAAGTGAAAAAGAAAAGAAAGAGAGGAGAGAGGAAAAAAAATCTCTTCCAAAGAATTGGAACCGAATCACCATGTAATAGGATTTGATTGATTGTTTGGTATTCTCTGAACTTTTCTCTTACCCTTGTTTCGCTGGTTTAGCCTTTTCAAAGTTCCAATGAGTTGTGAGCTCATTCCCTGGGAGAAAAAAAATAATGTTCTGTTCGGAACACTCTTACTAACCTTTGTTAGAAATGATTTTCATCTTGAGTTTCCATCATAACAGTTCCTGAAAACTGATATCGACTCATATATGTTTTGTTCAGTTTTCATGGTGATCATGATGATAATTTACTGATGATGTTCATTGATAATCTTGATGATCAGCCTCCAGACTAGTCTACTTGTAGCATTTGGACAAATTCAATGTTATCGGGAATGAAAAATAGTTGATTGTCATTGAGACATTTTCACCAGTCTCAATACTTTGATAATGATAATGATGATTAGGTTAACCAATTTGATTGATGATCATCAATATGATTTCTGATTTTTTTTGTTACTTTCTTTTCATAATCATCATTGATTTTGAAATCATTGTTGACCAACTGACCATTCAACTGCTATCTGATTGATTATTCATCGTGATGAAAATATTTGTAATCATTGATTGTTTCATTGATTGTTACAAACTAATATTAATAATATCTTTGCTTATATTGACAAAAAAAACCAATCAACTAAATCTCAAGGATTATTAAATGACAACAATTTGCTACCATCCATTGATAACAATTAGGTAACAATTAAAGGGCAACTTAACAATTTCCACTTGATTGTTGATATCAGATAAATGAAACAGTTAATCGTTGTGATATAATTAATACTTTCGGTCTCTTCATCAAATTGTACCAATACAATTAAGCTAATTAACTTTTCTAATTTGTTTTTATTTAAATTCTATTTTATTTACAGACAGAACAATTAACTTTTCTTTGGATTATTTTTGTTATGATTGTTTTCGGTAACTGTTCAGTTCTGGGAACTTTGTTATTATCGAAAGGACGAAAATCGAGAATGAACTTTTTCATAATGAATTTAGCGATTGCAGGTAAGTTTCCAATTCTATCAAGTTGATTTTCATAATCAATTGACTTTCAGAATATAAACTTTTCCTCTTATTATTATCATCTAATTTTCAAAGTGTATTCGAACTGTTCGAACTTCTTTTATTTTGTTCTAAAATCAATTGAGCTACTCTTTTGTTTATTATTATTATATTTTGTTTCTTTCCCCATAATATTTATCGTTATTTTCTGTTTATAATGAAATTTACTTGAGTATGAATAACAATCATCAAACTCCCACTCAACTGAATAGTAAACTAATATTATTTGTTGAATTCTCAGTTTTTGTGATGAAATTTGTTTTCCACCTCAATTCAAATGAATCATTATCATTGTGTCAATAAGTTTGTTAGTTTAGTTAAAACTCTAATGGGAAATGAATTTAAAGTTAATTTTATTCACTCGTTTGTAAAACATTGAAAATAATATTATATCTTGTTAATATTATCATCAAGTACAACCAGTTAATCGTATTGATATGTTATTATTTTTATTTAGATGATTATTATTATCACTCGATCTAATTGTCTAATTAGCGTGTTTCTAATCTTGTCAATTTTTAGATTTACTTGTTGGAATGATTAACGTTTTAACTGATATTGTTTGGCGATTTACTGTTGGATTTTATACTGGACACACTGCTTGTAAAGCAATTAAGTTTTCTCAGGTTAGTTAGTTTAGTTTCTAGTTAATTCAGTTGTGATGGTCAACTATAATAACTTGTTAAAATCGTTTATCGTTAGGTTATGGTCACTTATGGGTCAACTTATGTTCTAGTTGCTTTGAGTATTGATCGTTACGATGCAATAACTCACCCGTTAAACTTTACAAGTCGAGGTGAGTAGTTTGGATTAGATTTTGTTGGTTATTCAAGTTAATTGTTGTTGTATTTTCTATTCAATTTCTAGAACGTCGAGCAAAATTTCTGATAGCATTTGCTTGGATATTATCAGGACTTTTTTCAGTTCCAACTTTTTTCCTTTATAAAATTCATATAATTGAAGATAAACCTCAATGTTGGATTCACTTGGAAATCGGCGAGTGGCAGATTTACATGACCCTTGTAGCGATTTCCTTATTCTTTATACCTACGATTATAATCTCAGCCTGTTATTCAATAATCGTCTATACCATTTGGACCAAATCTCGAAGCATGGGCTCATCGAGTAAAAGAAAACGATTACAAAGTAAACATTTCAGTAAATCAAATGATGAACAAAATTAGAGATTCACTTTTCACCTTTTACTCTAATTACAGGAATAAATGGATGCTCATTGGTATCTGGTGATAGCGATAATAGTGGAAACTGGACTAATTCAGTGAATAATAACAATGGGTCACTAGTAAGTCCGATGAAAAACGAATCTCGATTCTCTGGGTTCGAATCATCTGACATTGATTTCAAACGAATGAGTTCAAGAGGTGTTATACCAAGAGCCAAGATAAAGACAGTTAAGATGACCCTGGTCATTATTTTCGGTAAATTCTAACGATCAATATCTTCTCGATTCGATTGCAAATCAATTTAATCAATTTCTTTTTCATCAATATCTTATTTAGTATTCATACTATGCTGGTCTCCATATTTTGTCTGGGATTTACTTCAAGTTTATCAACAAATACCGAAAACTCAAACAACCGTTGCCATATCAACGTTCATCCAAAGCTTAGCACCTTTGAATAGTGCTGCTAATCCGTTAATCTATTGTCTATTTTCAACTCATGTCGCAAAAAATTTACGGTAAGTTAATCGTGATTAGCTGATTGTTGATCTTAAACTTATGTTTATTTATTTAATTTGATTATTTTCAGAAATCATTCAACTTTTCTTTGGTTGGCAAATATCATTTGCTTTTGTCTACCAAGACTCTACCCAACATCAAACCAACGAGGAAGTACAGTTCGTAGTGATACAAATACTAATACGTTAACGTCAACGTTTACACGTTCGTCAGGACGAACCTCATTAAGTTTACATCATCATTATCACAATCCAAATCATCAACAGCAACGTACAAGAAATGTTAATTACAGTACAACTCAATCGTCTTTAATAGCAACAACATCAACTCATCCATTAATTACTAATCCAATTGTAAATCGTAATCATCATGAACCATCATCAAAAAATCATCAACAACAAGAAAACAAATTACTAGATGATAATATAAGATGAAAGATAAAGTTAATTGTTTTGTAATTTACTTATAATTAAATTGTAAATTGTTAATTTCTCTCTCTCTTTCTCTCTTGCTTTTTATATTGACAAATATATATAAATAAATTTACCTTATTGTTTACAGTTGTTTGTATTATATCAATTAATCAATTAATCAATTGAGTTGATTGATGCTTTCATGAAAATGCTGATAAACATCAGTTACACAATTAGGAAAGGATTAGTGATTAGTTTAACAATTTAAAGTTACTACGTTAGCAGAATTTAAGATTATAAACATTGGATAGTAAATCGTTGCGACTTTTTTGTCGTTGCTACGAACTTAGTGATATATTTGGTAATTAACTTCCTCGAACTCATTAAGGTCGTATGGCCCAACGGATAAGGCGTCTGACTTCGAATCAGAAGATTGCAGGTTCGAATCCTGCTACGATCGAACGAATTATTTTTTTGCTAGTTCGAATTAGCGAAAAAATCGATCTAATTTTCATAGAAGTTGATTTCGAAACCGATTCTCTTTGAACGACTTCGAAGGAATTTGTTTTTGCAAATTATTATCGAAAATCATATTATTCGGAAGAAAATTTTTTTTGATCTTAATTGAATTATTCTTGAATTTTGATGATTTAGAATTTGTTTTTATTAGGAAATTGATTTTCGATGAGTGGAAAATGTTAAGTTCAAAGTTTAAGAATTGAGAATTTGATTAATTCAATAATGTTGTCGGTTCGTTAATTGTTGCGATCGGAACCTTTATTCACTTTCAACCTGAACATGTTTTGGTAGTTCGAAGATGGTTGAAGATCAAATGAAGTTAGTTCTGTTTCTTGTTGATCTAAAACAGAATCTACAATAAATGTGGCCTCATCTTGAGAGAGAATTTGAAAAGTTTTCTACATTCGAATTTCGCTCGCCGCGAGTTACCAATGGATGGAGCCACTTGCATTTGGAGTTTTGTTTGTTACATTTGGAGAAAAAAAAACAAAAATTTTTCTCTTTTATTTTGGTTAATTTAAATTAATATTTTCTTAATTGCTCTTTGATTTGTCCTGTTTAAACTATTGTTTTTCTTTTGTTTTTAATTAGTTTATTTAAAAATTTATAATGTCTAGTTTAGATGATTTCTTTGCTAAGAATGATGATGATGCCGAAGAGCGTCATCTTCAAATGTTAACTCAACAATTGGTTCAACCTTCACCATCTCGACCACCAAATTCACCACCTACACCACAACAATCTCAATTATCATCTTCATCTTCATCATCTGCAACAGCACCCCAACAACCTCAAACACCTCAGCCACAAACACCACAACCTCAAACACCATTACCAGCACCACAAACACCACAACCCCAACATGTACAATCACCACCGGCTTCACATTTACCCTCTCCCGCTCCACATCAACCACCAATGACACCAATGACTCCAATGACTCCGATTACGCCAAGTTCAACTGATCCTGGAATCGCACCACAATTACAAAATATTGTCTCCACAGTTAATTTAGGTTGTAAATTGGATTTGAAAAAGATTGCTTTACAAGCCAGGAATGCAGAATACAATCCAAAACGATTCGCCGCTGTGATCATGAGAATCAGGGAACCTCGAACAACAGCTCTTATCTTTAGTTCGGGTAAAATGGTCTGTACGGGTGCTAAAAGTGAAGAACAATCTCGACTGGCAGCTCGTAAATACGCTCGTATTGTACAAAAATTAGGCTTCGATGTAAGTTGATCGAAAGGTTCAATGGAAAATGATCGATACAAGAAAAGAGTGAATCTATTGTCACTCCAATCACTTCCATTAGTTGGTTAATTGTTTAATTCTCTTTTTATTTCTATTTCAGGCCAAATTTTTGGATTTTAAAATTCAGAACATGGTGGGTAGTTGCGATGTTAAATTTCCAATTCGTTTAGAGGGTCTCGTCCTTACACACAGTCAGTTCTCTTCCTATGAACCCGAACTATTTCCTGGTTTAATTTACCGAATGGTCAAACCCAGAATTGTCTTACTCATTTTTGTCTCAGGAAAGTTGTATTAACTGGTAAGTTCAAATCGATGTTAATTAGACTCAAAAGGGTTTCTTTGAATATGGAAAATTAATCCAATCACTTAATTTTTTTTCTCTCTTCAGGAGCCAAAGTCAGATCCGAAATTTATGAAGCCTTTGACAATATTTATCCAATTCTCAAGGGATTTAGGAAACAATGAAAAATATTCACCATCCATCAATTAATAACTTTTATCATAATCAAATTAAGTTTATTGATTAATTTTGTATATTTCACTTGATCCTCAGATTTGCTTTATTTATGTAAACATTAATCATCTGGAATCTTATGGATGATTATGTTTACTTCATAACTTTTTTCTCCTTATAAATTTAACTGACAATTAATGTAACACAATCACAATTAATATTCATCTCATCTTGTGAATAAATATGTTACACAGAGAAGAAAGTTTATCAAAATGAATCGATAATATTTAATTGTTATGAATCAACGAGGTTGAATTAATTGTCTTTTTCTCACAAAATTTCACAGAATCAGATTTTGGATTCAATTGTAGAAGATGAAGATTGTGAAAGAGAGGGAAAGAGAGAGAGAGATTCACACAATTCGAGCTAAAAATTGATTTGATTGGAACTTCAGTTTTAATGAGAAGAAACAATCACGAAAGATCGAATAGGTCAATAAATTGAATTTCCATGAATCCATTGAGTATCCATCAGGTTTCAGGATCGGATTAAGATGAAGTCAGCAAAGAAGAAGAAACTTAAGAATTGAGAGGAAGAAGACAAAAGTGAGAGAGAGAAAGAGCGAAAGAGCGAAGAAAATAAAACTTGTTCCATCGATAATTTTTTTCTTATTTACAGTGGAATTTAAATTTGACTTCAACTTGTTTGATTCACTGATTTGGAAACTTGGAATTTTGTCTGGAGTGCAGAATGTTCTGTCTTGGGTAGAATTAACCAATTCTTAGTTCGTCCACAATCAATTTAATTAAGCGAAAAAAATAGTTCCAGCTTAAGGTGTCGAAAGTACATGAATGCTCTTTGCGTATTTTAAAGCGAAATTCTTGTAACTAAGAGTGACTCTTTTTCCAGATAATAAAGAGCGTGGTGACTGGAATTGTATCTCATTTTGAGAGAGAGAGAGAGACTCGGATAAATAATATAATCACAATTTTGATCAACATGGAGGAGGCGAAATGATTGGATAAAGGATAAAAGTTTTCTATCAAAAGTCAATCTTTGGTCGATAGCTAAGCCGCAGCGGTGGATCCTGAGGTAAGAAAAGAACGAAAATATTTTTTAATAACAAATTGAAAGCTAATTTATTAATAAGAATTAAAAAAAAGCTACTAACCTTATATCTCCATCTTGTAACCCATACAAATTTCAGCGTATGATCTTTACCTAAAAGCTCATCATTACATAGAATATCAATCTAAAAGGGAGAGAGAGAGAGAGAGGAAAAGACAAGAGATTAATTTAAATCGTAAATGACCAATACTCTGTTTTAAAACATTATTATAATTACCTCTTTATATTTGTCGAAATTGTTGAAAAGCTTTTTAGCTACGAATTTTTTAAGGTGGGTAACAGTGGCATGAGATGAACATCTAATATATTTCCGTTTCATTTGCTTCAAATTGCAACCATTTTGACTTTCTAAGAGTATATTAACTTGTTCATCTGATCTATGATAATCGCTATTTTCCTCATTGGTATTTGATTCATTTTGATACTTATAAACATCTTTATCATTACTGTTTGAATATGAATTTGAATTAGCCTTGGGATGAGGTAGACCTCTTTTCCGATAGAATTCACGTTCCCTCTTTTGTTCATCTAAATCAGTTGTCAAAGAAAGAAAAAAAAATGGACAAACAGAGTTAAGGAGGAGGAAAAAAAACGCGTTCAAAGAGAAAAGAAAATCAGAATTAGAAGAACACATTAAATCAGTACGGTTGAAATAAAGTATAGAATACTAATAATGTTACCAATTATAGTGAATTAATTTTCCACTTACTTGATTGTAAATTGGGCACCAATTTGTAGACAATATCTTGCATTGTCCGATCATAGGCAATGTAATTTAATGGATGACTTTGATGAATGATGAGATGACATGATGGACAAGTATTCCTTTCCTCTAGATGCTTAACAAGACAGCTTTTACAAACTAGAATAAAACAACAATATGATAATGAAAAAGGTAAAATTATAGTAAATTATATAAAAAGAAGCCGAGAAAAAAGTCTAATTGTCACCAATTAAATGAAAGAAACAAACAAATTACTACTTACATGTGTGAAGGCATTCGGTCACCGTTGTAGCATCTATTAAATAGCCTTTACATATATTACAAGTAATGTGAGGATTGAGATATTTAAGACTAACTAATCTATCGACCATGATTGACGATTGCAGTTATATAACAAAAAGAAAATAATTCTAAATATAAGATGTTACAATTTTGTGGTAAACAAACAAGAAGAAGATTAAACAAACAAAAAAAGGAAATAATCAAAGGCCAGAAAATCCTATTTATCCAAATCACAAAGAGAACTTACGGTGGCTCCACCTTGGGGAGAATATTTTGTTTATGGAAAATTCGAATTTTGAATTTCGCTCGCCGAGGGTTACCCATAGATGGAGCCACTGGCCTGTGTTCTCTTCTGGTTGTGTCAACCTTTTGGTTCTTAATGATTGCACATTTTGATTGTTTATGTTAATTGTGTTTTCTTTTTTCATTTAATTAAATTTTTTTTTTTACTCCTTAATTGTTGTTCGTATTTGGTTTGAAATTGATTTTGTTAGTAATCATGGCAAGTTTAGATGATTTTTTTGCTAAAAAGGATAAAAGTAAAAAGGGTAAGAAAAACAAATTAACCCCAGAAGAATTAGCTAAACAATTAGAGGTTCAAAGTAGTGGTTATCATTCAAAGAAGAAAGATGATGATTATGGTGGACACCGAGGATCTGATTTAATCTCTAATTCAAAATTGTTTGATCAGGTAAACATTTGGATTATCAATTTTGTTCTGTTTTCTATTCTATTAAATTGTTAACCACCTGTGAATTATCTTGCTACTTTTACTCTTCCTCCCACATTCTCTCTATCACATCCCATTTCATGTCAGCTCTTTTTTTCTCTTCTGATTTTTCTGATTTTCTTTTTTTGCCATCTTTCTCTCAATTATTATCTGTCTACGCTATTAGAATGATGAAGAATGGAAAGACTTTGAAGATGATAGAGAAAAAGATTATCGTGGTTTAAAAATTGTCTCTCTTAATCTCAGGTTAGTATTGGGCATTCAAGGGTTAAGTTAACTTCCATCTATCTTTGTTGACGAATTAATTTGTAATCTTGCATTTTTTCTTGTCTAATTGAATTTATTTAGAGGCAAAGAAGAAGAAATGTTGGAAAAACAACGAGTTGCACAGGAGAAAATTGCTGAAAAATCTAGAGATGATTCGGGCCCATGGAATAAACATGCTGAAGGTCCTGCACCAGTAACCGAAGAACCAAAACCTGAACCCAAGCCTGAGATTGAAAAGGAAGATGTGGCAAGCAAAGAATCTAAAAGCGATTTAGGAGGTGGAATTGGAAAAAGTCGATATCTCCCACCAGCTCTTAGAAATACATCGAGTAGCTCTGGTGATAATACAATTAAACCCACTACAATGGCCGCTGCAGTTAGAAAATTACCCAAAGGTTCACTTCCAAAAATTGATGATGCCCAAGATTTTCCATCTCTATCAATTGTTGATTGATAAGCGATTAGCAAGCAAAAGAGTTACTAGATAATCAGAAAATTAACGGAAAACATGAGGTAACACATCAGCTGTTACCAATAAATTTCTCAAGGAAATAAGCGCCTTCTTTAAAATAAATTGCCAATTGAATTTAATTACCTAAAAGTAATTCCAATCTACAATTTATATAATCAACAATCAACAAATTTTCTAAACATAAATTGATAGTTATAAACAATTTTCACCAAGAAAACAAAAGACAATTATAATCATAACCTGATGATTGAAGTTTATATAAATAATGTACTGAAAAGTAATTGGCAAAGTGCAATGATTAAAATACCAACAATCAAACGAAATTTGTAAAGTTGGATTGGAAAATTTTAAACGAAACTAAATCACGATCGTTGATTAACTCAAATTATTAACTATCGGAATGAGTATAATTTCAAAGGATTTTGCGAATAATAAAATTTTATTAACTCAACATTGATACAGTTACAGTTGATTGGGGTAAACCTAATTAGCAGTAAAATAACAATTAGTTTTGGAAAATTAAAAAAGGAAAACAATAAACTAGGGTAACAATTAACTCTACATTATTATTAACTCTTTGGTGTTGATTATGTTTACGGATTAAGAGGATTCACTTTCTGTTGGTTGTTGATTGTGGTTCAGATCAATTGGGTCGATTGAGTTGATTAAGTTGATCGAGTTGATTGTGTTGATTAACCAATTATCCATGTTTCTTTGGTGGAGGTGATTTTTTTGGCGGTGGTGACTTTTTACCAGCGGCGAGGACTTGATTGGTTCCAATCGAAGCCAAAACAGTAAAAATTACGACCAAAATCATTGACAATTTCATATTGATTAGTTGATTGTTTTCACGATTAACTTGATTTACTTTGTTAACTTGCTGATTGTTGATTGTTGATTGTTGATTGTTGATTGTTACAATTGAACTTGTTGAATGATAACTTTTGACATGAAACTATCAACTATTTATACTAAAAATATTCACTATTAATTGAAGGTTAATTGTTACAAATTGTTGTAACTTAATCACTTGTTTTCTCATTAATTCTGTAATCATCTTAATTTGTGAGTTATTGAATTTTTCTGATTGTCTTAAAGACCGGAAAATGATTAAATTAATTTGAAATGATTTAATTCTCATTTTGTTGATTAAATTATTTTGTACCAATTGTTTCCAATGCTCACAAACAATTAGATTTACACTCAAATCAATCAATCAATCACAATGTCATTGTTGACAATATTTCAATAATCAATATATTATTTAATGATTATTGCAATATTTTAACCATAAAATAATCAAAACACTTAGTTAAATTTGATCTACAATTAGTTTCAGGATCAAATCATATTGTACCGATTTCATTATAACAATTAACTACAACAAAACAACAATTTCATTGAGAAAACTTTTTCCATCACAATTTAATGATTTTAATGTTTAATGGACCAAGAAATGAACAATATTTGAAATGAATTAGTAATTAATGCAAAAATTATCAACAATGCCCATATAATATGAAAGGGTTACAACAATTAATTTAAATTTTCTAAATCAGTTCCAATACATAATTGATTGTTCTCATTTCCACTTAATAACAGCAATTAAAGCAAGATGATCAGATGGGAAAACAGAGCTTGGAATTGCTATTTGCTTAGATACTTGATCACGAGATGGTAAAGGTACAATTGATTCTAATTGAATTAACTGATTGTCAAAGAAAATATAATCTAAACATCCAACATAATTTTGAGTGTAATTAGTAAATTCTGGTGTCCCATAGGCACTGGTTAATTGTAATGAATGTTTAACTTCAACTCCTTCAATTGCTTCATCAGGAACTATTAAGACAATGGGACAGAAACAACAAATTAACCAACAATATTGAAATTAAGAAAACATAAACTAATCACCACAATTAAATTAATACAAACCACTTTTCCAATCAACATAATCAGAACCAATGTAACCATTAGTGAACAATTTATAAACACCATTAGCAGGATCACTATTAAAATCACCGGTGAAAATTGGTGAAATTTTCAGATGAGGAAACTGAAAAGAGATAATTGTTACAATTAGAATCTATTTAGGAAAATGATTAGTTAACTAATTACTTTGACCGAATAATCTTGTAATAGTTTCTCCACATGAACAATTATAATTGATCCTTGGAGAAGTCTAATATGATCAGAATCAGGATTAGAATAGAGATGAGTGTTAATCACTAGTAATCCTTTTCCAGGAGAGTTAATTGTTTCCAATAAAACGTATTGAACGATTGTATTTCTATCAATCAATCGTTCGTGTAATTTTTGATTACATTTAACGGCCTGAGAAAATTTGGTTAAATTGTCATCGGTTAAACATAATTCGGTTAAATCGTGATCACAATGGTCCAAAAGTTTAAATTTATCTCGAGAATAAAAAATGGCGACACCTTCGGGAACTTTAATTTCTCGGCCTGATTTTCGAGTGAAAAATCCTTCCATTGAATTGAATTTACTGAATATTTCAATTAACTCATAATCAAAAAATTTTCTATCAACTTCCTGGAGACAAATGATATCACCATTATAACCAATTAACTCTTTGATTAGTAATGGTTTTCGATAATTAAAGTTCAAATATTCAATTGGACAATAAGGGAAAATTTCTGTTGGTGTTGTTTTCATGCGAGTATAATAATCAGCGAGTAAATTGTATGTGATTATCCTGATTGATTCAGAATCTGTTCGGGTTGAGGTTAATTTTTGTCTCTCCATAAACGGACAATCAACTGGACCACAATTAACGACATCATCTGATACACATGACCCCTCTAAACCTGCTAATCGGGTGTCCTTAGGTGTTATCTTGACCATTAAATGATGACCAATGTCCTCGTTTTTCACATGGTAAATGAAACCAGTTGAAATTAATTCCTTGGCGATTTCATCATTATCCTCAATTGTTGCTGCTTGTCGCTTTTTGGAATCACAATTAGACCTAAGAAAGAGCAAAAGAACACAAAATTGAGCAATTAACTTTTCCAATACATTGAAGAATTAATTTTTCTACTCACTTTGATTTAAATCTATACCAAGAGTAATCACAATCGTTAATTGTTGCGTTTACAAAGTAAATCACTGGATAAACGATATAACCAGTTAGAAGGCAATTTGACAATTTTACCGATTCAACCATTGGACTATTAAGTAAAACCTTATAGTTGGAATCACCGATAATTAGAATTGAATTGTCTTTCCATGCTTGAGAATGAGGTGTATTCAGATCAATTGTTTGACCATCGACAATTAATTTAATCTCCAATAACTTTTTCTGATTGTCTTGTTTACTTTCATCAATCAGTTGATTTGATCCATTTTTCTGTTTGGTCCATTTAGTTTTCTTGGTAATCGGATTAACAAATCTTTCTAGATTAAGACGTAATCTAGAAAAAGCGACAGCTAATGATTCATTTTTATCACGATTAAGTGAAAAAATTTTCTCATTTAAATTGTGACAATAAGTGAATCTTAATGACATTTTATCACAATCAGGTTCCATTGAAAGCAGAGCTGTTCCTTGAGAGGAACAAGTTGAATCACAATTAACAAGAGAAGACATAATTCTAGAATTAACAATTAAACCTAAACTACGATTAGATAAACAACGAAAAATAGTCCTCATCAAATCAACTAGATTACAATTAAATTACCAATTTGTTCACAATTCGAGAGTCACAACAATTAACCAAAACACAAACAGAATCAAAACATGAGGCAACTAATCAGCTGACAACAATTTCCATTTCATTAATATTCACCAAAGAAGCGCTTTCTTCAAATTGGAATAACAATTAGATTTAATTGTTGCGAACTTTTTTTTCACCGATAATTTGATCAACAGTAATCAAGATGATGAATATTTTTCAATTGCTCTCCTCAAGTGGAAATACCTGATTTCTTTGGTAAAGAAATGAAAAGATTTATTCTGTAAATTATTCAAAGAAAATGAATTAACAACACAATTAACTTTACACAACAACAATCAACTAACAATCAGTAACAATTTACAGTTAATCAATGGATTGAAATTTTCAGAATCAATTGCCTGAGAGTTGGGAAAGTTTCCCGTTTATGATTATTGTTATTATCCCGATGAATACAGTTGAATGAATTATGAAGAGAAATGTTAATTGTAAATGAAAAAGTGAAGTTATTAAATTGTTTTCCAATAGCAATCAAATCAAGTTTCAACAAATTACAACAATTTAATCGTAATTCTAGATTTGAAAGGTTCAATGTTGGTTTACGGAAGGAAAAAAGTTCTAAGACTAATTGTCGATTTCTGTTTGATTAGGACTCAAATAAAACTCGACAAATTGTGATTAACATTAAGATGGAACTAATTAGTTGATTGTTCATCTCACAATGAACCTAATGGTTAAATTGATTGTTTGATTTAACTGTTAAAAAGGAAGATGAACGAAAGATAATCAAAGTGAGAGTTAATTGTTTACATGAATGGAGAAAGACAAATGATTAGTGTTTCTGACGTACGATTTTCATGGAAGAAAAGAAAGAGAAAAAAGAAAGAGGATAATGATAGTGGATGAAGATGAAGATGAAGATGATGATTAAGATGATAAGAAAGTGAGAGTGGGATGGATTTAAATTGTGGTTCAACTCCAAGGTTAACTAGTTAAATTCAGATTTGGTTGAATTTTAGTCTCGATAATTTTTGTTTCCTTATTCAAATCATCCATGTAATTTATTACCTTCCATTATTATCATCATCTCTCTGTCTAATATTGATAGAAAGAGTAAATTTCGAGTTTATCATCTCCTCTCCCTCTCTCTCTCTCACTCACAGGTAATTTCCACCTTTTTCCTATTCTCACTCTCGTTTTCAGATACAATCAGTTGATTGTGATCATCATCGGTTTTACGTTCAGTTAACTCACAAATTTACAACAAGTGACAACGAGATTGATATTGAAAAGCTAGAATAAAAAACTTAATCAATTGTGTAATAATAGTTAATTGTAATAGATTCAGACTTTGATTACCTTTGATGATGTGTAATTAAGCTAATTGTGAACGATTTCGACACGAGAAAAGTGACCTTTATCCATTGTGAAGTCAAGAAACTTAGTGAGAAACTTTTTTTACAAAGAAATGTTAACTTTTGATGAAACCATTTCAACATTACAATCAAGTTTCCAAACAATTTACGGTTTAATTGTCGGATTTATGGCAGTTTTAAGTGATTTAAAGGAAGGTAAACAAATCATCACCTCACCTGATTTACCATCAAGCTCAACTCAACAATCATCATCATCATCATCATCATCGGCAACAGTTGATCAACAAATTGCATCAACATCATCATCCCCAATTCTGGGAAATGAGGATCAATCAGATGATTGTGACCTTAATTGTTACGTTGACACGGACAATGAAAAGGGTCGAGTCGTAATTATATTGAAAAACGTTTTGGCTCTTTGGCATTTGGTAGTTAATTTACTTTACCTGGTTAAAAGGGCTGTGGCTGTTAAGGTTCACATAGCGGATCCGGAAAAGATTGTAATTAATCCTGAGAGAGTGAAAAAATTAACTTATAGATTTCACAATAAGTTTCTCAAATAATTAAACACTCGCAACAATCAATGGTTAACCTAACGAGCTTAATTAATCATCATTTGTAATCACCTTTTTTCTGTCCATATCAGATTTTCAATTGATCAATTAATCAATTATCAGGAAGATCAATTAATATATAACAATAAATGTTTCATACTTTCAATGGCAACAACAATTAATCATACAAAATTAAACAACAACCGCTAATTGTGATTAAATTAACTAATTGTGATACACTCATAAACTCACAACGGGAATAGCAATTTATTTTTTTGGTTTGTGTTTTATTTTCTCAGGTTAATTGTAACAATTTAATGAAAATATCTCAATTGTTTAGAGCAATTTAAACAACTTGATGATAATTAACTAATTGTGTTTAACTTTCACTTATTATAAGAAACAACAATTTATTTTATTATGTATAAATTATCACAATCATCTGATTAAAATAAATATCATTTACAATTAAATTAAAAATTGTTCAATTTAATTCAATTCTTACATTGAAAATTGATTAACTGTTAATTACTTAATTACCTACCACTACAGTTAGATTGTATTATTTAGTTAATTGTGTGTTGAATGTTAACTTTGATTCCGATTGATTGATTGGTTTAATTTGTTTCATCAACAAAGTTAATCAAAACAATAACAACTCAATTAATATTAACAATTAAAATCTGATACTTGATTAACAATTGTAACTCAAATGAATCAAATTATAAATCATTATTTAATTTTCTGACAATCATTAGCCAATAATTATGATACATATTCATTTAATTGCTATATTTAACTAACCTTTTGGAATAAAATATCATAAGCAATTTAGATTAAATCATTTACATTGATCGTCATGCTAATCACAATTTAAATCTAATCAAGTTGATTGAATATGAAATGTTTACGCTTGAAATAATTGTAATTGGATACAATTGATTAAAGATTTGATATCAGTGATATTTAATTGTTGTTGAACATTGATTACAGTTTATTGGGATAAATGAGAGTAAATCTAATTAGCGGAAATTCAAGTGACAATTAGTTTTGGAAAAATTAAAAAAAAAGGAAAACAATAAACTAGGGTAACAATTAACTCTACATTATTATTAACTCTTTGGTATTGATTATGTTTACGGATTAAGAGGATTCACTTTCTGTTGGTTGTTGATTGTGGTTCAGATCAATTGGGTCGATTGAGTTGATTAAGTTGATCGAGTTGATTGTGTTGATTAACCAATTATCCATGTTTCTTTGGTGGAGGTGATTTTTTTGGCGGTGGTGACTTTTTACCAGCGGCGAGGACTTGATTGGTTCCAATCGAAGCCAAAACAGTAAAAATTACGACCAAAATCATTGAAAATTTCATATTGATTAGTTGATTGTTTTCACGATTAACTTGATTTAATTTGTTAACTTTTAACTTTTAACTTGCTGATTGTTGATTGTTACAATTGAACTTGTTGAATGATAACTTTTGACATGAAACTATCAACTATTTATACTAAAAATATTCACTATTAATTGAAGGTTAATTGTTACAAATTGTTGTAACTTAATCACTTGTTTTCTCATTAATTCTGTAATCATCTTAATTTGTGAGTTATTGAATTTTTCTGATTGTCTTAAAGACCGGAAAATGATTAAATTAATTTGAAATGATTTAATTTTCATTTTGTTGATTAAATTATTTTGTACCAATTGTTTCCAATGCTCACAAACAATTAGATTTACACTCAAATCAATCAATCAATCACAATGTCATTGTTGACAATATTTCAATAATCAATATATTATTTAATGATTATTGTAATAGTTTATGAACCAAGTAGTTAATTAATTGATTACTTAATTTAGTTTATTATCGTAATGTTATTGAAATTATGCATTTAATTGCAAATTGAAATTTAACCACAATCGCCCAACTGCAATTAGTTTGTAATTATTTTGGTTAATCAATGAAACATGAAGTTATGTCTTAATTATTTGTTAATCTAATCACGAAAATTTAATTGCAAATACAACAACATAGACAATCAAACATAATCAAATAATTTAACAAGATTCATCATTAATCAACTGAAACACTGCTAATAATTTAACACCCAATTGTTATTTAATCATTCATTGATCACAATTAACTGATTTTATATACATTTATTGTGAAATTTACAGCTAATCAACCTTAGTAAATTTTATATAAAGAAAACTAATCAACTAATTGTTGGCAAGCAATTAGTGAGTTAAAACTTTTGGCGCGAAAAGATGAGTTAATTGTTTCAATAGTCATTCTCTTTAAACAATGTTAACAACAATTAAAAATGAAAATCATCATTTAAATTTCAATGACATTAAATTATCGGAAAAAAAATAATTAATTGTAAACTTCCTGAGGGCAAATGATGAATAGTCATTAGGAAATTTAAATTAACTAAAATATCAATCATTATGATAACATTGATAAAGTCCTTCAACAATTTAAGTAATTTGATTAATAATTAGCTGATTGTGATCAAATTTCTCAATACTATTAACCAAATGATTGAATAAACTAATTTGGTAGTTGATCAACAATCGATCAACTCTTAATAACTTTGTATCTCCACAATCTCAACTTGATTGTAAACAAAAATTTCATTCTTGTTTTCAATGTTTACAAAATGACCTTCCAAGGTCAACTAAGGTATTAAAGAGTTAAAAATAAATTCTCTTAATCATCAAGTTAATCATGATTATCTCCCATGATTATGTGAATTAGTAATAGCTATTAACAGGAAAATCCCTAATGGACCTTGAAACTGACCAATCTAAAGCATATGAATAACCAGAAAAAGCTGTAAACAGTAAGGTAAATGTATTGTAATCAACAGCAATCAAATTAAATTACTTCCAGAGGAACCAATGAACAATTTAAATCAACTATTAATAAATTGTACCAGAAAATCAGTAATTTAAATAACCATAAGTGTAATGGTTAAGTTTGTTGGTGTTGATTAATAAGTAGCAATTTAGTGATAACTTATTTATTAATATTTTCTTACTCCATTCAACAATTAACACGAGTTGGTTAACTATTTTACTTTATAATCATCAAAATAAATTGTGATTAACTTTTACTTTGTTCATCATCAACGGGTCCATGTTAATTGTCATGA